TGTTTCGTGTACTTTTCAACGATGAATTAAGACCACGCACAAATTCACTTTGGAGCCACCGAATTCCTCTTGGTCTGGAGAGGCGCTTTTCAGCGCGCGCCACGCCAATGCAGAATATGCCATCCATCCCACATTTCATTCCCTGCACTGATTGGCGATTTCCTGTAATTTCTCTCCAAGGAATTGACCAACACTCTTGCAAATTGGCAGTCATTTCCTCTGCCCTCAGCCAATATACAGAGAAAATCGTGAGGCGCGAAATGCAGTTTTTTCTCTCTGTCCGGGAGGGCGAAAATTGAGGGATCCGGAAATGGATTATCTGTCGAAAATTCCCCCCAAGCGATCAATCCTGGGCGAGAGTGCGAGTTTGGCCTTTGGTCTCTGCACCAATTAATGCCATAACGAGCGCGAGGGCCCGGAAAAGAGGGCCTGCTTAATCTCGGTGTCAAAGTGGACAGAGTGAGAGAGAGAGAGGGAGAGTGAGAGTTGAGTTCAATATCCGCAGAATTGAGCTGCCATTTGGCGGACTCTGAGACCCTCCGCCTCTGGCCGCGCTGCAGCTCGCGCCCGAGCCACGAAAAACAGCGGCGATAACAATATTTGTTCAATGCGCAAAGCTGATGGAATATCTCGGCTGTGGATTAAAAAGTCGATCAAGTGGCGCAACAGCAATTTCTCAATTTTGATTTGCCCCTCCCTGGGCAGGAATGTGCGCGCCCCAAAGCGCCCCGAGTGTCCACCGGCGGCAATTGGCTGCCCAGCGCGCGATGATTAATGTAAAATTGCGCGAGAATTGCACCCGTGCGCAACAAAAGGCCCGATTTGCGACCGGTCAAATGCGCCTCGAGGCGCTTGGAAAGGTGTCGATAGGAAAATTACATTTATCCACAGCGATATTGCATCTGCACACAACACAAGTCAATTTTGGCCATCGCCACCGAGTTCCGTGAGTGGGATTTTTACGCAATTCACCTCTCTTCGACCTCGAACCACTCTTGGAATCGCTGGGTGAAAAACAATGGCCAGACTGTGGTCGAAGGGCCTCAGCTTGAGGGCAGCACAAAAGCTGTGCGGCTTTCGAATATTTGCAAAATAACAGCCGCGAATGAGGAAAACAGAGATGGGAAAAAAGAGAGATTTGTAGTTGTTATGAAATGTTAAATATTCAGTAAATAAATCATGGCTGAGGATTTTGCATGTTGGAAAATTTCAATGAAAGATATTATAAATGAAGAAAAATGAACCAGGGAAGAGTGGGGAAAATATGATTAGAAGTTATTTATTACAAAATTACGCATAAGAAATTCCAGTTGCTCTTCAAGGAATACTTCAAAAGTAAGTAAATTTTAGTAGAAATTCAAGATTCGAAATTTATTTTCAAATCTACAGTACAGACACGAGACACATGTGACTGGTCACTAGTTAGTCCGCGTAATTGTCACATCACAAGCACAAATCTGCACTTGCGATTCAAATTTGCCTCCGGAGCGCTTTCTTAGTCTTAAATGAGTGTTTTCCATGTAGAAATTTCCCTGTTCATGCATCTTGTGAATTTTTATCAATCATTTCGGTATTTCTGTGCACAATAGCTCAACAGCTCTCTATTTGCTGGTCAATTTCTGCCGTTCATACTTTCAAATTTTCTGCATATGAGCGTAAATTTCCGAGATATTTCAGGCCTAATCGCAGGCGTTGTTTTAAATAGACGCGTCTGTCTTAAATGGCTCCCTTTGGAAGATAGCGAATGTCCACTGACCGCAATACTGGCGCAAGTGGGTGTGACTTTCTCCGCCGTCCGAAGTCGGCGATTGAGCAAACACCATCGGTTTTGTCGAATTTCCACCAATAATCCCCCGATTCCGCGCGATAAGGGCGCCCGTGATAAGCGCGTTGTGCACATGCAGCGCGATGCCATTGACTCTCTCGGTGCGCTAAAACAAATAAAGCTCATCAGAGTTTCTTTTTATCTCGCCAACCACACACGGAATGTTTGCTCATGTACAAAATGCACTGTGGGCTGGAGAGGAGAGAACTTTGTCTCCTGGGCGCGCGTTCAAGCTGCTAAATGTTGCTCTCGTGGGGGCTCAAAATGCATGTTGACTCGCGCGCGCGCCAGGACACTGACCTCAGTTTTTTCCTTTCTTGCCTCCACGAACCCCCAATGCAATAAATTCCCGAGCTCCAGTGTAAATATTATGAAATTATCGCGCCTCCAGAGCGAGAAATCACGGTTAAGGAAGCGCGCGCGGCATTAAATTGAGGTGTTTATTCTTAGAAACAATCCTCGCGCGGGGTCTTTTGTGTGTCCCAGGAACTCTCTGGAAGATCTCTCTGTGTTCACTCTTTCCCGGGAAATTGCATGAAATCAACTGTGGTGTTATTCAGCGGAAAAGCCATTCGAAATATCGCGCTGAACGCGCGCGATCAAATAAAATTATCTCCGCGTCGTAAAAATTTCAATTCATCTGCCCGAAATGCAGAAGTTCTATTGGGGAAAATTGAGTCAAGTACATTCACCCGCGATAATTCAACAATTCTCGATGACAAACCCGCACTTTCCATATACCACAAAATTGGCCCTCAAGTGACTCATCAGCTCAACAAGAGAGAAAGAGAGACTTTTTCTCTCCACAAAGTCGAGAAATTGCACGCGGTTTTTCCACGGAAAATCAATTTCATATGCTGAGCAAATTGAAAAATTCCACCAGTAAATTCACCCCGAATCCGCAATGCACATTTTTATTGGCACATTACAGCTTAAATTTCCCAGAATTCATCGATTTTCCACAGTCAATTTTCCAACCCCATTTTCTCCTCTCTTTCCGCGCGGTTCACATTTTGCGATTGCTCATGTTTCGCGTGCGATAAATTGCACACAGAAATCGACCTCGTGGTGAACAACAATTGATCCCCTTTCAAGCGCTGCGCGGGGTGGTTTTTCCTTCTCACCTGTTGCTGCCCCGGGAAATTCACATGATGTGTGTGTGTGTGTGTCTGTTGGGGCGCGACAATTTTGCAGAGGAGCACAATTAGAGGCGCTTGTGAAATATTGCGCAGAATGTCATGTATTGACGTGTGAAAGCATTGGGAAAGGGTGCAATTTTCTCACCCTTTTTCCCTCTCTCACTCGCCTGTGAAAATATGTCATTAGCCATCTCTGATGGTGGTTTTGCGATTCTCCAACTGATAAAAGCAATGCGGCGCACACAATTAATGGAAATTCCGCATTTGCAGCCCGTGTTTTTCCCTGGGAAAATAAACTGACAATCCTCGAAGCGCCGCGCATTAAACGGATGACACAATATTGATTGCGCGGATTAATAATTCCCGCGGGACACTTTAGGGATTTTCATTAGTGTAATTGCGCGCAGAGCTTTGCCAATTTCGCTGAATCGCGCGCGCGGCCACTCGCGAGCCGCGGGGCGGGCGGCGGAGTGGTGCTTGATGGATTGCTATTAAAATTGGCGACTCGGTGGCTCGCGTGGAAATTGGTCAGGTGGATGGAAAAATGCCACAACAATCCGAATAAATTGCCACCCAGGGCGAGTCTCGCCCCTTTCCACGCGCCAAATGATAGTCTCGCGGTCAGTCGGTTTTGCACGCGAATTTCTATGTCAATTTCCCACGGAATTTCCACCCCAAAAGGGGGCGGACAAATTGCAGGGAATTGTGGTACGAATATTACCAACTTTTCGCAATTTACTGTACAATTCGAGTTGATCAGAAATTCCCGTTTAAAGTAATTTGAAAAAACGAAAGAGTTTATCTAAGAAAAAAATTTCCGAACATGATTGTCCTTGGCTAAGAAAAAGTCATAAAAGAGAAGCAGATCGATTAGAGGGTTTTAAGAAGATTATTTATTAGTAGTTTTTGAGTTATTTATGGTTTTTTTTTTAGAGTTTTTTGACAATTCGCATTAAGAAAATCACGGAAATGAAATTTAAAAAATATTTTTAGAGCAATGAAAAGAATAAAAATTAAACATTTGTGTTACTTTTTCGATGATTAAAAATTCCCTTCAATGACGTCCTCAATCTTGTAATCAATTCACTCACTTATTAATGGAGAATTTGCATGATGTTCTTCTGTGCAGTGATTTTCCCCCTGAAATCCTTCGGCAAGACTTTTAGTGCAATTGTTGTGTATTTTTTATGAGTCCTCGCAACGTCAGTCGATCAAAGCAAGATAATTTCACGACAAATTTCGCATTCTCTCGTGAATATTTAATGCTCTGCCGTCGACTTGGTGGCGAATTGAGAAATTGTTACTTGTGTGCCATCGCTCAATTCATTTTCCAACTAATAGGGCTCAATTTGCCACAATGCGCCCCTATCAGAGGGGCGTCAATTGGTTGGCTGATTAATAAATTCATCCCATTCATCCGGAATCTGCGAGGAATTGATTTCCATCGTCTCATTTGCCATCCCGGAATTGATGAGAGACAAATAGACAAAAATTCCACTGGCCATTAGACGCCCGCAGAGAATGCAAATGCACCGGATTCGGTGTTCCCACGGATTGCAAGAAGGAAATTCGAATCGTGCGCTGGTGGCGCGCAAAAAAGCTGTCATTGTGCCTCCCGCATTTTTTGACAACTCGAGCGCGCGCTCGCGTTCGAATGGAAATTGCGGGAAAATGTGTTTTTTGGCAGCAATAATCACTCCCTGGCTGCTGGATGGATGACAAAAAAGTCGCGGTGACTTAAGTAAGTGAATGCAGTGCATGCGGGCATATTTATTGTTGGCTGAATTGAAGAGCGAGAGAGAGAAGAAAAAGAGTCTCGATTAATTTAATTGACTTCATATTACGATAGGTCGTGTTATAAATGAAGATAATTGAGCTAAAACCGAGTTTCATCCAATGAAAGTTATCATTTGGGACTTTTATTGTTGTTTTTTCTCCACGATAAGTGCTTTTTTCTCGCCTCTCGATTAACTTCCATTGTCCGTTGAATTTGAAATGCCGCCATGCGATGCATTTAAGGTGTTTCCTTTGCAGTTGGTGGGTTTGGGTGAAAATAAACAATCTAACCTCACTTTCTGGCGCTGAAAGTGTTTTCGTCAGAGTTTCTGGGGGAAAATGAGCGAGGAGAAGTCTCTTGAGGAGTTGGCAGTGCTGGTGGCGGAAAAAGTGAGTCTCGCGGAGGATCTGCTGAAGACATTGTCCTCTGTGCGACATGTCGACGGCGTGGCGAAGCTGGAGAAGAAGATCAGTCACGAAATGAGCTTCCTGCGCACGGTGAGTCAGTTGCTGTGTGGCAAATCTTGGACTTCCACTGACCCATCTTCCCTCCTGCAGCACCTGAAGAACTCCACCATCGTGGAGAATCACATCCTGTGCACCAATTTGACGCACTACGAAGTCGTTGTGGCTGTTTTAGCAACGTGCAAGTCTGCCAAGCAATTCGACTTTCCACTGGCGTCCGGAAGCAGAAGAACGCCGCTTCGGGTGGACATTGTCTGTGACAAGGGAATGTCGTGGCTCAAGATCTTCGCGCGCAAGAGCAAATCCATCAAGGATGCCGCCTCTGGCCAGGGAAAGTATGGCTCCAAGAGCATTCTCGATCATGCTGATGAATTTCTGGAAGTTGCATCGGAAAATCCCATCAACTTCCGGAGACCAACGATCTACTTCGTGTGTTTGCATCCGCTGGACGACGGGCTGGTGTCGGAGCTGCAGAAGAAGGGAATTGTTGTGAGAAATTTCACTCCCGGACAAGAGTTTTCCACCGAGGAAGCGAAGCAATCGCATTCGCTGCTCAATCTCGATATTACAACACTTCTCTGCCACGTGAGTTCCCAGACGAATGGCAGCTGCTACTGGGAGTTCCACGAGGCCATCCTCACTGAGCAGGCGAGATCTGAGCGGAAGAATCCGCTGAAGGCGATCCTGGAGAAGTTCTTCGAGGGAAAGCGACTGATTTGCTGTGAAACGGCTGCGAAATCCTTCCGGGAAATTGTGGATCTCTTGGGCGGTCCGGGTGAGAAGGAGCGCACGGAGGAGCTCATGAGGAGAGTAGAAGTGCTGCCGGATGTCACGGAAATCCCCGAAAAATGGAGAAATCTGCAGATCAGAGGGAAAATCAAGCCGAGAAGCTTCCAGATCTTCATCTTCGGCATGTTCCACAATGCTCTCACTGTCACATCGAACGAGGGATTCATCCGCGCTGTGAAGACTCAGGAGGGCATCGAGATTCCCGCTTACATCCACGAAGCTCGCGCTCTGACGGAGCTCAAGGAGAAAACGGCGAAGAGAGTTTCTGATCCACGATAACTTTGTGATTTTTAGCGCGCTAATGAAGTGATGTGAAGTTGGCTGCGAAACTGTGTTTTCCTTTTTGCTTGGGTTTATGCCTCGGCTTATAAGTTGTATTTATTCGCGACAGGGCGCAGCACTTGACGGCTTTCTCACATTTCACAACCTCACTCTTCGTCATTTAGCGCGTGAATTTTCTCGTTTTTCCTCATTATTTTCCCAATTTCCTCGTGAGTTTTTCATTTGGGACGAAAGTCAGTAAACAAAGTGATGAACAGGAAGAACAAGCAGTCGCAGGAAACTTCGCAACAGCGTACCATGAGATTTCTCAGAATGTCTTTGATAATTGCTGAGAAGAAAGTGGAGATGCTGAAGAAGCGCAATGCAGAGCTCAGGAAAATTTACAAGCGAAGCTGCAAAGTCGCGGCACAGCGTAAGTGTCATCCCAATTCCTAGCTTTCCTGTTTTGAGATTTTCCTTTTTCCAGTCAATTCATTGCACTTCGACCAGCTTTTCAACGATTTTGAAGACAATTCTCCGCCGATGGATGTTCGCGCTTACGAGGAATTGGCCACCAAAATGGAGGCGAAGGTCGCTGAAGTCGAGAAATTCGTGAAACAGTTCAAGGAAGAAATTGAGAGACTGGAGAAGATGGCTGTTGATGACGAGGAAGAAGCACAAAGCGAGATGAATTCTGTGGCTTCTTCCGAACAAGAAGACGCCCAAGTGGCCAGCGAGGCCAGCGCTTCCACGAGCGAGACGGAGACAGAGGAGCTTTTCTAAGGACAGCTTTTCAGAACTTCATTCACTGAATTAATACCCAAATATCTTATGAATTCCCTTTTCTGTAAGAAATGAAGTTCAAATAAAAGTGAAAACAGTTATAGATCAAGTTTAAGATTCCAGCCACGGTGAGGCGCTGAAATCGGTAAGAAAAGGGAGCAGACTGAACAAAATTAGGTGAAAATAGAAAAATCTATGCTCTACTTGTGTTTTTTCTCCATGAAATCCATGCCAATTAATCTCCAATTTCCCATTTCACACAATAAATACTAACTTTGAATATTTCTTTGGCTTCTTTTAACATATTTGGCGCCCTAAGAAAATTCTAATGTAATTACTAATGTTTTTCTTCTATTTTACATTATTTATCTTTGCATATTTTCCAAAGTTCTTATCCGATTGGCAAAGGTGGCACAGATTTGGAAAGGTGATTTTACAGTCTACAATTCTCTAAAACATATTATTTGTATCAAAATACGTCTTCGCCTGTTTTAAGGCGTTTTCACAGAACTTTGAATGACGATTGCAACGAAATTTTTCATTACATTTTATTGATTTTACTCCAAACTATCCTTATCATTATAATTATTCCGTCGTTCAGCTGCTGTGCAAGTGACCTAAAATTAGAAAACTATACACTTTGACCCAATTTTTCAACCCTTACATCCAATATAAAAAGAGAAGAACTGTTACTTGACGTCATTTCAGTGCAAAAAAGCTCGTCTTTCTCGTTTAAATTTGCATGAAATGAACTTTTTGTGTTAGTGTGGACAGAAAGAGGCGGGAAAACTGCATGATTTCTGCACTTTCTGGACGCATTTCCGCGCGGCGACGAGGAAAATTGGCCAAAATGGAAAAGTTTTATTGGTGGAGAAAAAAGACGCGCGGCAGACAAAAGTGGTTTTGACTATGTGTGACGTGGAAGAAAACTTAAGACTATCACTAACTTTCGCTTGGTGGAAAGTTCTTTTCGGGGCCTTTTTTCGCTTACAACCGAGAAAGTATGCAAAGTTTCCGGACCGCGGTCGAATGGAAGTCGGCAATGTAATTGGAATTGGAAGGGAATTGCGATGGGATTTCTTGTGTGTGGGAGGAAATTGGAAAAATTCGCTGAAATATCAAAAGCAAGGGGAAAATATTACGGCCAAAAGTGGTGTATAGATCAGTTTTATATATTTTTGAGTTGATTTTGATCATTTTTACGCCATTATTGGGAAATTCGGTGCAATTTTTGGGATATTTTGCTTGATTTCTTATCAAAAAATTAGTAATTTTTAGTTTAAAACGATATTCTAACTTGAAAATCCCGCCTATTTTTCTGCAAAAATGTTCTGCAATTTGAATAAGTGCCAGAAAAATGTACAAATTCGAGCCTAATTGTCTTCCCCTTGGAAAAGCAACGACGGTTTTAAAGTTACAACCTTGTTATGTAAAGGAAAGAGTTAATATTGGTTTTTTCTCTCTCTCTCTCTCTCTCTCTGTTCTGGGCTTTAATTGACATGACGAAATGTTATTAAAATTGATATTTCAGCATATATTTTTGTAATAAAATCAATATTATGTAGATTGCAATGCAAATTTCTCCGTGATTTTTCAGTCCTTTTTTCCATCGCTCCGCATTTTCCTGCAAAAGTTCTCACGATTCACGCAAATTGGTGGCTCGTGAAATTTATTCAAATGCACAAAATGGCTCAATTAATTGGGAATTGCTGTGCGACAAATGAGAAATGGCCAGACAATAAAATCATTTAAATTTATCCACTCAAAATGCTCTCAACTCGTAAATCTCCGGCAAGTTCAGAAGCGGACGCGACGGAATTAATTATTTGTTAATAATTCAGGTCAGCGCGGAAATCCGTCTGTGGATGTCCGTTGGAAAAAGCGATGGAAAAAGTGTTTACGAGAGTTCTTCGGCAATAATTAGATGGCAGAAACGAGGAAAAGTGCTCATGAGAATTTAACCGGCGTGGAAAGTGATAAAATGAAAAGATTTCCCGTGTCGGGAACGGAAAGGAATTTAATTTTGCAAATTGTAATTAATATTTGGAACAGATATTTAATAATGAACACTCCATTTTCTCACGCAACTCACACACACGCGGCGCACTTTTCCAATGAACGCCCAAAAGGCGGAAGAACACGGCAAATAAGAAGAACTTGAGGAAATTAGGGGTGAAAATTTCGAAGTCATCCGTATTATTTTCATTTGGGAAACGAATGCTGAATGTCTTGTGTTTTCATCTCAATTAATTTTGTTTATTTGACTCTCTAGAATCGTGTCTATTTGAGAATTCTCAGTGATAGCAATGTGAGCTTCTGCATCATTAATTTCAGTGAAAGTTTCACAACATTTCTAGCACTTTTGCTGCTCATTTTCCTAATTATTCCTTGTAGTTCTTCGCGAGGTATTTCAATCACTCGGCGCTTCACCTTTTCGCGTGGGGAAGTGAAGATAGCGTCTCATGAGGAATGAAGTTAAATATTATTTTAAAATCATCATTAGTGCTGAGTTATTGCAGATGGAATGGCGCTCCCTTAGTCAAATATTAACCCGGGAATTGGAGTTGGACGCGATGGCAAAGTGGAGTGGAAGGAAAATTAATGAATCCGCTCCCGATGCTGAGGAAAAAGCCGAGGACGCAGAGGTGAAAATGTGACATTCAGTAAGAGCACTTCATCGTCAAAATTGCCATTCATCCACACACACTCACACACTGTTTGTGGGTGGGCCTTTTTCCCACCGAATTCGCCGCCCGATACAAAGGCGGCCGGGGAGATGAATAGATCCGGAAGCACTTTGCCGAGAGACTCGCCGGAGTTCCGTCTGGCGCTCTTGGTTTGTTTCACGCCGCCTCTGGGGCGTGCAATGCCACACAAGAACTTTATTACCTCGCCATCCACCCCATGTCGAGGGGGCTCGGAGGCTGGGGGGTGCCCCGAAACATTGAGAATGATGGAGAGAAGCTGAAGTGGAGCTCATTTTTCAATGTGCTGATGTGTGTATAACTAATAGTCTTTCTTCCTGCTTGACACACACGCAGGGCGGAGGAAAAAAGCATCCTTTTCGTTTGTTTCACCCCACGGCCACCCACTTTCCCGCCCGCAGCGCCAGTTTCGGCCAGATTGTCCGGCTAAAGTTACAATAATAAAGTGCTCCAGAGCTGAGCACCAGTGCGAATCCCCTTGAATCCCAAGGGGAGATGAATAGGCTGACGTACAAGCTGTACAACACTTGCAGTCGCTTTCAATCATAACTTTCTTGTCTTCAAATCAATCAAATCAGACTAAAAATGCTTTAACACGTCAATGAATTTGATTAGTAGAAATTTTTCTAAAAGTAAACTTAAAGGAAATTCAATTCAAATATTAAACTTCAACATGATTTTTTTTTTTAGGTTATGTGAATCTTTTATGCTGATTTCTCGCCCTGAAGTTTCAGAATCTTAATTTTTTCAGCGTAAATGACAGAATATTGCTAATATTGGAAATTACTTTAATTTAGCAACTTAGTGTCTCTTAAGTTAGTCAAAAAGCGCACATAACCTATAAAAACTTAGTAAAACCAAGATTTTAATACTGACACGGATTCGTACACCATTTCTAACCATGTAATATCTTCACCTTGTCAAATTTCCCCGAAGTGAAGCTATCTTGGCATCTTGAAATTCAGTCGTGAACTTTCAAAAGCGACCTCAACTTTTCATCCTCCATACTTTATATGGCGTCGCGTGTGTGGCAATTTTTCTCCGTCGAGTGTCGTGCGAACGCCTCAAGTGGCTTATTAACCCGCCTGACCTGGACCTAATGAAGTCATGACTCGTGGAAATTGGCCTCAAATCCTCTCCTTTCCGGCGCATGTAATTAATTAGACAGTCCCGAACGGCGAAGACGGAATGACATCAGGTACGAAGGCGATTTATTTTGCATTATGCAGACCTCTTGACGCATTGCCTGGGGCGGGTGAAAAAATGCTACATATCTCGTGCCGAGAGGACGACTATTAATCATCGCACGTGGGACAAAAGCACAACTTCCCATGGCGAGATGACAATTCCTGCGTGGCATATAAAGCGACGAAGGAGAAGTAATCGCCCAATCGACTACGTGACCTTTTCAAATAATTAATAGTCCCTTTGAATGCCATTTTGCCGCCCCTGACCGCAATCTTCCTCCCGGGAAAGATTAATTTCCAGCGGAAGACAATCTTCCCGGACGCAGGACGGATTCCATGAGGCGCCATCAATAAATTGAACATCATTGTGCCCTTTATGGGGCTTTAATCTCTCACCCTTAATCAGTGGAGAATCACTCGATTGCCGATCATATTTGGCCCACTTTGGCACGCTGAGAAATTGCCAAAATGATTTTTTATGGCACTTTAGAGAGCAATTTGATTTTGGGGCTTGATAAGCTTCTTTGGCAAAGAGAGAGCTTTTCGCCACTCAGACTGAAGCTCTGGAATTGTTGAAGGAGTTTATGGGATTTTCAGCTAGTTTTCAAAATTACATTTGACCGCAAAATCACTCTTAATTATGACATTTTAAGCTGTAAAATGTAATTTTGCAAAAGCTCTTCATTTTGCATATTTCTAATAAGCCATAAAGCTTTATTGCCTCGCTTAATCAATGTAAATTTCGTTTGTGTAGAAAGATGATAGAATATATTATTAAAATAACCTGATTAAGGAGAAATCTATAAGGCAGTTGTTGAGATTAAAATGTATTTAATTGTGTCTTTTTCATGCTCAAATATTTGTTATTTCTTTAATTCATAAAGAAAGGTGATGAAAATCTTTACCTTGTTCTTCTGTGTAGCTTTTACATTTCATGACAAGGCATTTAATCAAACTTTCCCCGTCAACGAACCACTCGAATTGCTCCCCACGGGCAGCTTTTCAACCTGATAGGAATCGAAATTAGTGAATTTACATAAATTTATGACGACGACCAAGATTGAGCATCCGAAACATGCGGACAAGAGGGAATGGAATGCTTTAGCAG